CAAGAAGAACTGGTACTTCCTTATTGTATGTATTCTCTGGGACAACAAGGAGTAAACATGGGCATGGCTCTTCAAGAGAAGGTATGCCAAGGGAAGTAATGCTCCCTTCTATGTATCCTGAATAAGGTAAACATTGACCATCTGCACACTCCACATTAAGTATATTGGTAACTGGATGTAATGTAAGATGGTTTAAGTTATTGCGATAGAAAGATTCGCTTATAGTGGACACAGTAGACCCAGTATCTAGGAGAGCTTTACATGCAGTATCCTCCACGTTGATATTTACTTCTGTTGCATCTCCTATTAAAGTTAATGATTTATTGATAGGGCGACTCAAATGATGCAGGCCTAGCGTCTGCCCCCTAACACAGGCCTGTTCTTGTTTAAATCAGTTAGGTTTTTTCTGCTTAGATTGACTCGACATCCATATGCTAAGTGTCCGGATTGCCCACACCTGCGGCATATAGGCTCATCATTGCTATAAGATGATTGTCTGCCCATACCTCTCATCCTGTTTGATTGAGTGAGTGGTCTTGCTCTCGATCTTCCTCTGCTGTACCAAGTAGATGGTTGTGGGTCAATCCTCCTTTGCGTAAATTGATTTGTCTGCTCTTGTTGTTGATATTTCTGAGTCTCGAGTGAGTCAACCTTGGTAGATAATTTCTGGATCATAGCTTTCAGTTCTGAAATCTCATTTGAAGATGTTGAGTCTGTTGATTTTACTACGACGTTCATATTTGTTTTCTTCTTATCTTTAGGATGTTCTTTCTCAATAAGTCTAATTTCCTTTCTCAATTCATCAAATGTATCACATTTATCATATAGATATCCCGATATATCTTTGAAATCTTGTCGTAATCCTGACCAGAATTTGGTCTTCAACATTTCATCGACATCTTGGTGGTGAACTTTACCTTTGTCAACTGCTCTACTTAAAAGCTCTTCAAGACGGCATCCCCATGTCGTGGTGTTTTCATCAGGTTTCTGAGTAGCACTGTAGAACTGAGTTAATAATGATTCACCTTTTTCTACAGTTCCATGGATGCTTTCCATTTTTTCTAAGACTTGGCTTAGTGTCGCATCTGGACCTAATCTCATGGGTATCTGGCTAGCTTGACCTCTCAATGATCTTCTAATAGCCTGTAGAATCACATTCTCAGTATATCCTTCCCGTGAAAGACATTCAACCTCATACTTCCATACTTCATATGGCACATCAATTGATCTGCTAGGATCTCCTGAAAATGTTGATAGCTTTGGGATGTAAGTAGAGATTGATGACTGAAATAATGGTGGTTTAAGGTCCTTACTCTTTGGAGTAAATATGGGTGCCGAAAAGAAAGGAGGTGGACTAGGTATCTCTTTCTTGACAGTCTTATGCTGTTCAACAAATGTATTGAAAGCTTCATTTGTGAAGACTTTGTAATCATGATCTTGAAGATACTTTATAATTTTCTCTTTTTCTTCCGTTGTTAACTCTTTTGTTGTCTCTGGAAGATTTTCTTCAAATTCTACTTCTTGAATTTCATCACTTGTTTCTTTGCCAGCCATTGTGAAAATTCAGAATGTTTTACACTAATGATTACATGCAAAATGATAATACTAGCTATTCCAGTTAACGCCATTTTTTGCAAAGTTAGATAACTCGTGTTTGTGACCTGGCGGCCATCAACGTTCGAATTTGTTATGTGAAGTAAACAATGATACTAAATTGAATATTCTGATCTATCTTTAAGGACAGTTGAGAATTAAAGATTACGTAAGTAGCTATTTTGTTTTCCGATATAATCTTATGTTTTAGATAGAAAAAAATTATTTTGATAAGAATATTTTGATGAAAATGTATGTTGAATAGGAAGTGTAGCGGTACACTATTTTTCCAGATTGTCTTTACGTTTTTAGTGTTAGCACAAATTTTCAACTTTATAAAGATTTTAAACATTATTTAAGATTTTTTCATGCCTAAACGAAGTCCCCAACATGTAGCACAAAAGTGCATAGACTTTTGTAAAATTTTGTCTTCATCGGGATCGGAGACATAGTTGGTATTTCATTATTTGAAGAAAATAAAGTGCTGACAGCTCAAAATACCTATAAATATAAGAAAATTTTTACAATTTAAAGTGCATTTCTTAATTTTTCTAACTTGAAAATTATTCAAACGTTAAATTCAGTCATCTATATTTTGCTTAATTTCAATCGCGCTCGAAATACTTCTGATAGTTATCTTCCCTGATTTGCTCTCCTGGGTCACAGACGTTGTCAGTGTTTGGGTATTTTTGGGCATCAGTATTTAGTTTATTGTGCGAAATTCCTTAAAAAGAATGCTTATTCTTTTCATTCTATGGAATTAACTTCCTAGAAATCAAAGATTTGCATTGAAATTCATCTTTTTAATTTTTAGGTGGATTAGCTAATAATACTGTGTAAACAACACTGCAAAAAAATGAATGATTTCAAAATGAAAAATCAATTGCATTCATTCAATGTCAATAGACAAAGATAATCTGACAAAAAAAAGAAATCAAACAAGCAAGCTCAAGCACGCTGCGCAATAAATGCAATGCATAAATCCTAAAGCGCAAAGCAATGCAGAGAAAACAAGTGCGTATTTGAAACGTATGAAGAAACCGTGAAAGAAATCGCACGAAAATAATTCAAAGAAAACGCGCGACACAATTCCTGAAAATAAAAATTTTATTTAATCTTTGTACCCTTGATTAAATACACCTGATTGTTTAACACTCACATTTTATATTGTGCCTATTTACTTTCAGTATTTAATATCTTCCTATTTTAATTTACCTATTTAAAACATGGTTATCTGACTTTAGGGTGAAGGACAAAGGGCAATGTATTCTACCAACCACTTACCATAAACAACCTTGAAAACTCAACTTCTAATTTCAAAAAGTCAAAGTCGCTAAATGGGTCAGTAGTAAAATATCAGAATGTAAATAACAGGAAAGTGAATAAGTATTTAGTATATCCTGTAAATGATAAATGTCTCACTCCATCCACACAAGGACTCTTTCAGTGATTTGTACTGTCAAAGCTGTTATGAATATAAATTACATTTTGTAAACAACTCAAAAGTCAAATGTGTCAATTTACCTCTGAAAATTCAAAATATATACTTCAGAAACAAGTTTGGTACCAGAATGAGAAAATTAAGACGTAGGCCTATATGATTTACAAATGAAGAAAAAAATTTCAAAGTGTAAACACTACAGCAAACAGCTGATCGACAAGCTGTTAATGTAAACAAGCACTGAAATACTCAATAAAATTCAAAAATACAAATAAATTACATGACTTACTTTAAATAAGCAATATCCAAATAAGAATAAACAAAATTATCAAATAATTTTACACTTTTATCAGTCTAGAAGTCTTGAAATGCACAAATCCACGTGTGGAAAACAAGTTCAGGTTCAAACCGGATATAGAGTTTCACTGGAAATGTTAAAGTCTTTATGGACGGAAAAGAAATTTCCGGAAAGTTTATAGTACAAATCTGGATGGACGGAAAACAAATTTCCGAAATGTTTATAGCACAAGTATATATATGTTCACAAAAGTGCAGTTTCTTCTGAACAAAACTCACTCAGGTGTGACACAGGTAGGTTACCTTGTGTGTTGTCAGTCTGTAGCAAAAACACAACAGCTGTTGAAATGTTGATTGAAGGCTTTGATCCACCACTGACTTTATTATCTATGGGGGACTGGAGGTGGCTCCTGCAGTTGGTGCCATCATCATCATTGCCCCACGTTGGGCGCCAAATTTGTAGCAGAGCAGCAATCAAGACAAGATGGTTTTGAAATCAGTGTGATGTTTATTACATGGATTATATACTTAAGTACCAGATTCTGCAAAACAATATAAAATACATTAACTATATTTGATATCACACATAACAGCAGAATCTATTGTTATCATAAAATCAAATAATTACTACATATTAATTAGATCATAAAATAATATTGACACAGGTCAATGAGTTATATCTCTTGACAAATGATATTTCTCTTTATATATTCACTTCATATAGTGGATAAATATTTACAATATACATGTACATATAGCTACATACCAAACTATGGGTATGAATCCATCTCTATTTCTAATACAGTGTATATGTATTGCTATGGATTTAATATCTACAATTTATAAATAACATTTATACACTATATATTCTTTTGTGTCATAAAATACATTTCATTACAAAGTTTAAAATCAACTAGTTCATCAGCTTTGACAAACTTAAATAATTTAATAAATTCTCTCATATGCCACTTTTCATTCATACAATTATTAATATGAAAGTATTAATGTGAAATAAGAATGTCAAAAAGTCAACTTACTGTCAGTGGTCTATAAAATACTCCAAATATCAAAAATACAACTTTACACACTGACTGCTCCTAGGCTAGTAATTATCTGGACACTCTGGACAAAGGGGGTTAAAGGTTTTGGTGGGAAAATATTAACCAATGGCAATTCTTACTTATTTATTTATTCAAGGTTAAAAGTTAAACTGTAATTTAGAACTCTAGAGATTTCTAGACTTTAATTAGAGGTAGTTGTTATAAATTTATTTAAATGTTTAATATTTAAATAAAACATTTTTATTTTAAATTAAGTTTATTATTGAAAGTTATTTCATAACTTTCAATGGCATCTGAAAGAAAATTGTTGTTATAATTAAAATCAATATAAAAACATGACTATTACAATTTGATAATTTTCCCTACAAAATTGAGTTAACTATAATGACTAACTTGGAAAAAATAACATGGATATATTCACATTATTTAGTAATTTCAGCGTCATTTTATAAGCATTTTCAATTACTTAACTGTTGATTTTCAGAACTGACTACCTTAATCACTGTTATCGACACTTAAAAGTACTTATGATTATTGTTTCCCTATCACTATTCTCAACGGGATCGAAGAACAACTAATTCTGTACCATTTGTTTACATCGCCATATTTAACTTGAATGCCGGGAAATGTGATAATTAGACGCGTGCAATCGCAACATCTTCACTTAATGTACTTTGACCAGCTCATTGTTTAACAAGTTTTATTCACAGTCTCTGTTTGAGAAACAAAATGGTTCAACGTGGTGAATTTTACGTGGGTTCCCGTCTCCTACAGCCCCTAACTGTTATCGGGTTGCCATTAGATCAGGTACGTTCCACGCGCAGGATAGTGTAACATTGTTGACTTTGCCCTGTATCCGTGATAAATGATTAATGGTACAATAACGCTGTAAAATTTCAAAGCTTGTCTACGTATAGTGGTTATTTTTTTTTTCATGGAAAGGAGGGGGTGATAGCGAAGAAAACAATATTGGAATTGGAAGCAAGACAAGAGTGCATTGAGGGGAAACAGAGGGCCTAGGGGTGTTTTATTTCATCTTCTGAATCTACGATATGTTCCCCTTTCTTTGTTATTTGTACATAGAACTACCACGACCTTAAAGCCAAGCAGCAAAACCTGTAAATGCTGAATAATTTTCAACTGCTTTCCAGTTAGTTTTGATCACACAGTAGAATTTGGTGTAGTTTTACTGATTTTTTAGGTAAATAAAACACTAGAGCATAAAGATGTCAAGTACAAGTTCTGTTTGGTGCAGAGTGCATCATTCACTTGATACTTAATCTTACCTTTAACAAACTATTGTTATTTGTCATGTGGTTTTTGACTCTATCAACAATGATCAAGGAAATCAAACTAACCATTATTATTTTACTAAGACCCTGCGAATAGGCACTTAAAGATATTTTTCACAATGCTTGGACATACTCTTACCAGTACTTTAATGAACAGACATTTATCTTTGATCATGCTCTTTTTTTACCATTCTCAACCCCTCCCCTCTCTCTCCTTTCTCTCTCTCTCTCTCTCTCTCTCAGTTGTCACAATTATAATTTTTTTTTGTATTTGTTTATTATATTCATTAATGATATAATGTTGTAATCCATATTATAAACATGTATGTGACAATTGGTATTAATAAAAAAAAATATTATTTTACTAGATCTAGCACAATCATTTGAGGAACATTTGAGAGATAACATATCAGTGACCAGGAAAGAAAACAGGATAAAAAGTTAGAGGAAATGAAGTCATAAGTCATAAGAATTTTGTTTTAAATTTTAAATCTATCTGTGCCTTGGGGTATTGTATGACTATATTTTTAAAGCCAGTGAATTGTGATGTTACATTCACACAAAGTAAATTTCTATTGGAGTTTTGGTTCATAAAAAGTCCTACAAGTTAATGTTTTTTCAAGTTTGAATTCCTGAATAAATCTTCAATTTCCCAGTAAAATAAATTTATTATGAACACTTCATTGATTTATACATATATTTTTGATTTTTTGGAGAAAAAAAGAACAATTTTATACTAAATTTGACTATGGATAATCCGCTTACCTTATCAATACATAGGGCTTAATATCTAGATTGACTGGTAATAGAGGATGCTTACTTCTCCTAGTCGCCCGATCCCGCCTCTGGGATTTTCAGGGGTCACAGATTTGTATTGTTTGTAGGTTTTTTGAGATCGATCAGTGTTCGTTATCATCACCTATTTCATCCTTAGACTTTTGTTACCACGATTTCTTAGTAATTATTATGTTACATACCTGTAAAGGTGATGATATTTCCTCAGAATTTTTTTCCCATTGATTTTTCTCTGATGATTTAGGCAACACACCCTGTACCACAATGAATGGACCCAGTGTTTGGCATCTCATGTTTTGTTATCCTTTCTCTCATTAAAATTCATCCTAATTAGCATATGTAAATATTTCTGAACTGTGAACACACATGAGCCTTTAGAATGCACTTTATTAAACAATGGACTAATACAATTGTCTACAAGCTTTATGATGAATTACTTATTTTCTTTCTCAATACATTATGTCTGGTATATGTGGGTATTTGTATAACCTTTAGCAATAATCTGTCTCTCAGTGCATTCAAGGTCTATAGTATCAAACCAAAATCAATTTTCCAGATAATTTTTTTTTCCTCCTTGAACAAATTTAATTCATTCATACTTAAAAAAGTTAATTTAAAAGCAAGTCACTGCACAAGGGAGTGCGCTTGGTGCTTTGACTCTCAGTTGATGTATTTCTGTGTGATTCCTTGTTCTTCTTGGCCAGGAAACATCATTTCAATAATATATACTGGTAATGTTCTTTAAACTATTTAATATATGTTAAAGCTTAATGAACATGATACAGTAACAACTTGTTTTCAGTTATTTTATACCTTGTAAACTTTAAAGAATTAATGCTCAAAGAAAATATCCAGGCTTTGCTGCTTCCCACCTTTGCTATTATATATATGATTTATCTTCCAGAATTTTATGGTACTATCTAGCTCCTAAGAGAGTTACCCAAAAAGTCAAATTCCATGTTTTCTAATATAAATATTACGACACATTGAAATTTCCAAGATCTGCCCAGAATAATTTAGAAAAAATACATTTTTTTAACATTGAATATCTGCCATTAAATGTCATTTTTTAAAAAAGAATCTTGCAAGATTTTAAGAAAAGTAGGTCATTGAATAAATTGGTTATATTTTTATATTCTAGTTCTGGGGTAATATTTGAGTATATCAACAAATAATTTTTTTTTTAATGTAAAGGGACACAACCCATATTGGCATATAATTGTTTAATTATAAAGTAACATGAAATGCCCTTGACTGCTCAGATATGATATGTCAATGTAAAACACATTAAATGTCAATCTGTAATCACTAATTACAGCTTGGCACATATGTTTTGATTAACAAAGGTGACCAGTACTATAGTTATGCCATTCTTTTTATTTTTTTTGATGTGCATTAAAATACTGCACATATCTGCAGGTAAGACAATTATATTCATGTAAATAAAGGGATTCTAAGGCTGTGGTGACCTTCAGCAGTGGTTTTATGACATATCTCTCCTGTTAATTCATGAAATGTCAGGGTTAAATCAGCCTAAGGCTTTGATGAGGCCTTTGCTGCATTCTGAGGTTTACTGTTCTGTGTTATGCTAGCTGTGTTTATAGTGTCAGATTAAGTCAGTGTTTCAGGGACTCTGTCTCCTAGTGGTAATTGAAGGTAATTGGTGTAATACCATGAATGATCCTGAAGAAAAGCACCTTGAGCTTAGATCCAATTTGTAACAAATTCTTACCTTCATCATTATGTAACATAAGATGTCAGTTTTTTGGTTGGATTTTTTTAAACAGCTTTAAGGATTAAAAGTTCACATTTGCATTTAATGTTAATGACATTTCATGTACGATTATGGTTATTAGCTTTCATTTACAGATTGATGTAACTTTGTAAATATAACAGATTAAACAAGTGTTCAGTGATGGAAAATTACAATCACTTGTTTGTTGTGTCCAGTTTAGGGTAAAAAAATAATAGTTTCTGATTGCAGATATTTTTTAATTGAGAAATTTTATTTTACAGATCAACTTCCTCGTGTGCCAGATTTCTGCCTTGTTCTTGGGATACTACTTCCGAAAAAACTGGTCCCCGAAGCAGATCAGTTTGGTTAATCGTCATGCTCTAGAGCTAGTTGTCGGCTTCATCCTGACTGCCTTCTGTTTTGGATAGTAAGAGAGATTTATCAATACTAAATATTTTGGAAATACATATATGTTCACCTGTGAAAATCATTTTGTTTGCCACACATCTGTCTGTCTGTCTGTAGTCACCCTATTCAAAAAAAGGTTACTTGCAGATGACACATTAATGTCCCAAGCACTGCAGACTTATTGGTATTATGCTTCTTACAAAAACAATATTTGAAAATTCATTTCAGTTTTTCATCGCCATGATTGAAAATAAATATTTGTGTATTCTGTACAAGTTGTTTTCAGTTTAATAAAGTAAAAAACTTCATGTAGAGAAACTTTTGAACTTGATGTAGATGATCTGTAAAGATTGTCAGGTGATAGAGTGGTAGCATGCTCACAGACCGTGTGGTTATTAAACTTTAATTCAATAAATATTAAAAGTGCTCAAGGTTGGTGTACCTTTGTACTTTACAGGTGAAATATACACTACACCAATAAACACATCTGTAACAGCAGGAATATCATTGAAGAACTATATATATCAGAGTTTTTATGAAAATCATCTAAACAATTTTACATATATTTAACAAATTTGGGAATAAGATATTTAATCAACATCTGTCAACCTATCATGTGTAGTTTTCATATGAAAAAAAATTTACAAAAAAACTCATCTTGCACACACCCCCTTCCCCCAATTCCATGTTATAACAAATACTACATATAAATAGCAGAGGTTGTTTACTGCAGTGGCTTTATAACCACTGGTCTACATGTATATATAATATTGATTGTATCTGTTTGAAATACAGTTGAACTCCGGTATGTCGAACTCGATGGGACCGAGAAAAAACTTCGAGATATCCAAGGGTTCAAGATATCCAGGTAAAATACTTAAGAAATATGTGGTTAGGACTTCCAAATCACTTCGACGTATCCATGGTATTCAAGATATCCGTGTTCGAGATACCGAAGTTCAACTGTAGTTTTATAGTTTTATTACAAAGAAAACTGTGGTTTTGATGAGATAGCTTTGTTACATGTAATACATGTATATATTTGTCTGTTTCAGTCAGGTGATCCATGTGATTTTGATGGGATGGTCATGATACATGTAATACATGCATATATATTTGCCTGTTTCAGTCAGGTGATCCATGTGGTTTTGATGGGATGGCTCTGCTATGCACTGATTCTCCATGCGCCGCGAGATAAGTTCCATGTCCTCGTGTTTATCTCTGGTATGGGATACCTGTGTATCATGCACATGTATCGCCAGTACTATGATTACGAAGGATATTCGCTGGACATTACAGGGTTTGTATACAGACTTTACATTGTGGAATATTTGTATGTCATGATTACTCAATTTGATTAAAATCAGCTGGTTGTAAGTATGGTAAAGCTCTGTTTATTACAGCTGATTCAGGACTCTTCATTAATATATAACTTAATTTTGGTAACCGTTGTAATGCATCATTTGATTGGAAAAAAATGGTTTCATGGAAAAAAGTAGTCCCAGTCTTAAACATAAATTTTCAAAATAATATATTTTTAATGTAGAAAGTATCTATTTCTTGTGTAAAAGAGATTATGTCATCACGTTAGAGTTGTGGCCCATAGGTATATTGTATTCACTAACAGAGGTCACTGATTTATATGACATATTGATTCCGAGACATTACCCACAAACATCATAAACTTGTGATAACAGTATTTTTTTCTGGTAATTTTCCTACTGTAAGATAAACCTTTTTTTTTTTTTATAATTATTGAATTGTTTAAAGAGGGTTAATTGATTTAAATCAATTACTGTGGTACACGTGATACAACTCAGTACAGCTATTGCTTGTATCCCTTTCATTAGGAGTGAGATTTCTATTTATTGGTGTCCAGTTCATTGTTTATCTGTGTAATATCAATTATATTTCCTGTTTGATTTTTCAGACCTTTGATGATACTGACACAGAAAGTCACCAGTATCGCTTTTCCTCTACATGACGGCACACAGAAAAAGGATGAAGATTTAAATCCTGATCAAAGGATAATGAAAATAGAGTAATTATTAAAATGATAGAATTATTGTGCTTTTAATGTCATAAAAAACTAATACAATACAGTCTTGGAATTGAAAACAGTCTCTTGCTGCTTCTAGTAATCAGGCATGTAGTTTCAGTATTTAAAATGATTCAGTGCATTACAATATGTTTTATAGAAATATTTGTTTATATTTTCAAAATTGGTTCAGTTGTCAATGAATACAAACAAGGATTTACAGTAAAACACACTTATAGCAAAATGCCAGGGATGTAGCAAATTTAATTTGTTATAAACATAATTCTGTATATCAGTTCATAACATGTTATAGAACAACAGCATACGGGAATGAAAATCACTTCACCTTAAGCATGAATTCATTATAAGCATGTTTGCTGTAACCGTTTTTATTCCCTGCAAGCAAAGTTTAGAGGGGTTCTTTATTGGAATCGGTGTGTCCATCAGTCTGTCTAACTAGCTGTCCGTCAGTCTGTCTAGCTGTTTGTCTGTCTGCCTGTAGACATGATTTTGTCTGGACATGCATCCAGTTTAAGATTAGTTTATGAGTTCAATGTAGAGAGGCCAGCTGTCGTCATTATTTCCGTCCTTGCTTTGTGTCAATAAGGATAGATAGGGGTATGCTGTATTGTGTATTAGGATAGATAGGGGTATGCTGTATTGTGTATTAGGATAGATAGAGGTATGCTGTATGTGTATTAGGATAGATAGAGGTATGCTGTATTGTGTATTAGGATAGATAGGGGTATGCTGTATTGTGTATTAGGATAGATAGAGGTATGCTGTATTGTGTACTAGGATAGATAGGGGTATGCTGTATTGTGTATTAGAATAGATAGGGGTATGCTGTATTGTGTATTAGGATAGATAGGGGTATGCTGTATTGTGTATTAGAATAGATAGAGGTATGCTGTATTGTGTATTAGGATAGATAGGGGTATGCTGTATTGTGTATTAGGATAGATAGAGGTATGCTGTATTGTGTATAAGGATAGATAGAGGTATGCTGTATTGTGTATTAGGATAGATAGGGGTATGCTGTATTGTGTATTAGGATAGATAGAGGTATGCTGTATTGTGTATTAGGATAGATAGGGGTATGCTGTATTTAGCTGCAGAACTGTAGCTCTCTGCTTGAGAAAATTCAGACAGACAAAGCAGAGAGCTACAGATCCAAGCGTTGTAAAAACCTTCGATTTACGCCACCGCTTTTTTGTCGCTCGCTTCGGGTATCATTTCTTGTATTTAATGCTTTCCCCCACTTTAAAAATAGTATCCGATAATTAGTCATATATTTTACTCCTATTCTTGAAACTTTATTTACCTTTCAACGGTTCCAGACTTTAGAATAAATGCATTCCGACGTCGATGTTGGTGTCATCCTGAAATAACATGCCCGAGTTTTCAATTTTTGGTTTTATTTATCTCATTTTTTTTACATACATACTATATTCTTTGTAGACAAAATACATGATATTTGAACCTCCTGAATATTTTATTTACATTTTATCGGCAAGTATATGTTTTTTGAAAGACTTATTTTTCGCACGACCCCTAGTATGGACATCAGAATGGGAATTTTTTAAACACATTCCAAAACCATACCAGGGCTGTTTGAGACCGTTGAAAGGTAGATAAGGTATCAAGAATAGGAGTAAAATATATGGTTAATTATCGGATACTATTTTTAAAGTGGGGGGAAGCATAAAATACAAGAAATAATACCCGAAGCGAGCGACAAAAAAGCGGCAGCGTAAATCGAAGGTTTTTACAACACTTGAATCTGTGGCTCTCTGCTTTGTCTGTCCAAATTTTCTCAAGCAGAGAGCTACAGCTCTGCAGCTATGCTGTATTGTGTATTAGGATAGATAGCGGTATGCTGTATTGTGTATAAGGATAGATATGGGATATGCTGTATTGTGTATTGGGAAGTTGAATGAAAAATCGGAAGTTGATGATAAAAAGAATGAATTCGAAATTTACGAAAGTTGATAAACAAAGTCTTCAATTTTTGTAGAAATTGTACATGTACTACAGTATACCAAATCCAGATCTAGGCAAACTGAATAATTAATTTTAAAAAAAAAAGTAGAGAACTAAGACAAATCCATACAACAAATAAAACAAACTATGCATAAAAATAGATAGATTGTGTTTAAGTTACCTGTTTTCTTTTTTTATTTTTCAGGAAGCCGCCCTCAGTTTTGGAATATTTCAGCTATCTGTTCAGTTTCCATAATATCATGGTGGGACCCCTGGTGTTCTATACGGACTATATCAAGTTTATTGAGGGAAAGGACGGCTCTTATGAAACTCCAGTATGTTCATCACTAGTTACATCGTATTAATTATCATTGATTAAAATTTAAACACCAAAGTACTAAAATATCTTTTATATTTGTACTTGTATATTGATGAAAATTATATAGGGTTATTGAACTTGTATTGGTGAATTTTGGCATGAGTTGGTTGTACAGATTGCCAATAAGTACCAGTATTCACTTTTCTGAGTTCAATAACTCCTTTATCATATAGCTAAAACATTTTCCCATTCATTACATTAATTATTTAGATTAACTCAAAATTAATGAGAATATTTCAGTATTGGTATTTAAATGAAAACTTTGTAATATCAGTGCCTGACCTGGAAGTGTTCAATAGCACACCATTTCTATAACTGGTTATGATGTGCTTATTAAGGTTTTTATGGAGGCTAATAGGTACAAAATTATTTATTAATAATGTCAATAATGTGTGAAAATAGACACATCTTACCTAGTAGCCACTACCCATCATAAATGTTGTTGTTGAGCGGTTGAATAGATGAAATTTTTGTTTCCAACAGGGCATTGTAACGCTCACATTCGGAATGTTTCAGGACGTACTCATATACATATTGCAAACTTAGCATTCAATAAAATGCCAAGATAATGAACGCTAAAATTCTCTAGACTTTTGTTTTTTTATTACAGACTATTTATAAGTTCTTGTAGAGTAATTGTTAATGTTTTCCTATGTAATATTTTATGTTGTTTGTTTGGGATGTAATGACATAATACTGAGTTCTAATTTTATTTCAGGACAAAACTCCGACAGTTCCACATCCAGAGGTTTGTTTAAGGAATTCTTCAAGTTAATTTTGAAAAGTGTTCTGATAAGTCAAGTTTCATAGGGTCTCTCTAATTAATAAAAACTTAATACATGTACATTTTCTACATATATATCTAAATTTGAGTCATCAACTTTCAACAATGAAATACAGAGAATACTCCGAGTATACTCCGAGTTGAATTCTCCACATTTATTGCTTATTAGCTCACCTGAGCTGAAAGCTCAAGTGAGCTTTTCTGATCACATTTTGTCCGGCGTCCGTCTGTCCGTCTGTCTGTCCGTCTGTCTGTCCGTCCGTCTGTCCGTCTGTCTGTCTGTAAACTTTTCACATTTTCGACTTCTTCTCAAGAACCACTGGGCCAATTTCAACCAAACTTGCCACAAAGTATCCTTGGGTAAAGGGGATTCAAGTTTGTTCAAATGAAGGGCCACGCCCTCTTTCAAGGGGAGATAATTAGGAATTAGTGAAAAAATAATGGCATCATTTAAAAATCTTCTTCTCAAGAACCATAGGGCCAGGAAAGATGAAACTCATGTGGAAGCATCCTCAGGTAGTGTAGATTCAAATTTGTTCAAATCATAACCCCCAGGGCTAGGGCGGGGCCACAATGGAGGATCAAAGTTTTACATAGAAATATATAGGAAAAATCTTTAAAAATCTTCTTCTCAAGAACAGCAAAGCCAGGATGAGTCATATTTATTTGGAAGCATCCTCAGGTAGTGTAGATTCAAATTTATTCAAACCATGACCCCCGGGGGTAGGGTGGGGCCACAATTGAGGATCAAAGTTTTACATAGAAATATATAGGAAAAATCTTTAAAAATCTTCTTCTCAAGAACAGCAAAGTCATGATGAGTCATATTTATGTGGAAGCATCTTCAGGTAGTGTAGATTCAAGTTTGTTCAAATCATGACCCCCCGGGGTAGGGCGGGGCCACAATGGAGGATCAAAGTTTTACATAGAAATATATAGGAAAAATCTTTAAAAATCTTCTTCTCAAGAACAGCAAAGCCATGATGAGTCATATTTATATGGAAGCATCCTCAGGTAGTGTAGATTCAAGTTTGTTCAAACCACGACCCCCGGGGGTAGGGCGGGGCCACAATTGAGGATCAAAGTTTTACATAGAAATATATAGGAAAAATCTTTAAAAATCTTCTTCTCTAGAACAACGAAGTCTTGATGAGTCATATTTATATGGAAGCATCCTGAGGTAGTGTAGATTCAAGTTTGTTCAAATCATGACCCCCGGGGGTAGTGTGGGGCCACAATGGAGGATCAAAGTTTTACATAGAAATATATAGGAAAAATCTTTAAAAATCTTCTTCTCAAGAACAGCAAAGTCATGATGAGTCATATTTATGTGGAAGCATCTTCAGGTAGTGTAGATTCAAGTTTGTTCAAATCATGACCCCCCGGGGTAGGGCGGGGCCACAATGGAGGATCAAAGTTTTACATAGAAATATATAGGAAAAATCTTTAAAAATCTTCTTCTCAAGAACAGCAAAGCGATGATGAGTCATATTTATATGGAAGCATCCTCAGGTAGTATAGATTCAAGTTTGTTCAAACCACGACCCCCGGGGAAAGGGCGGGGCCACAATGGAGGATCAAAGTTTTACATAGAAATATATAGTAAAATCTTCTTCTCAGGAACAGCAAAGCCCTGATTGATCATATTGATCTGGAAGCATCCTCAGGTAGTGTAGATTCTATTTTGTTCAAATCATGACCCCCGTGGGAAGGATGGGGCCACAATGGAGGATCAAAGTCTTAAATAGAAATATATAGGAAAATTTCTTCTGAAGAACTGCAAACCATGATGAGTCATTTTGATATGGAAGCATCCTCAGGTAGTGTAGATTCAATTTTGTTCAAATGATGACCCCCAGGGGTTGGGTGGGGCCCATTGGGGGATAGCAAGTTTTACATAAGAACATATAGAAAAAATATTTCTTCTCAAGAACAGGAAAGCTATGTTTAGTCATATTGATATGGAAGCATCCTCAGGGTAATCTTTTCAATACTGAACTGATTTGTGCTTTTGCCTAGCCAATCTGTTCAGGTGAGCGATGTGGCCCATGGGCCTCTTGTGTGTAACTTATTGCAGGCTGTTAGGGTTGTCTTGAGAACTGAATATCCATTATTTAATTTATAGGTTGAAATCTTTTATTATCAATAACATTTCATGTATAATTTATATTCTTCCTCAAGCAAGAGTAGAATATATCTGAGATTACCACATTTATTTCCCTTTAGGATGCCGTGAAGGAGAAACTCATGGTGGCTGGTATCTGTGGTGTAGTCATGGTGTTGTCTCCCCTAGTCTTTCCTGTTGAATACATGGCAGGTAATGTAATATGTAGCTAGTGTGCAGTGTGGCACTTGTTTAATTTGAATTAGTATTACTTTGTTTATGTCTGAATATAAAGTATAGCAATATTTTGGTACTACTTGTCCTACACACAGCATTTTTCTTTCTGAAAATATCTGTAGTGACTGTCATAGTTAAAAAGTCTTGATACTTTTTTTTGTAGTACAGCTGTATGTTTGTAATGACAAATATTTGTGGTTTGTTAAATCACACTTTGAATTGAACTTCTGAGACTTGGTCTAAGACAATTTTAAGCTTGTGGAAAATTAATTTAAAAATTTATTTCAGGGTTAGGGTTATTTACAGTTTACAGAAAAAAAAATTATTCTACATGGTGATCTTTATTCTATAGATGAGGAATTCCTTTACCAGACAAACTGGTTTTACAGAAATTTCTTTGTTCTTTTTTGTGTGTCACTGGTTAGAGCCAAGTATTACTGTGCCTGGAAATTAGGTAAGTTTGAAATCTTTGCATTTATGTTAAACCCTAAGTTGCTGTATACGTATGAGAGTTCCAGTTGTTCTGTACAAACATGTTCCTGTACCTTAAATCCTCCATCATTCAATCACCTGACATTGGTTATGTAAACTATAACTCGAACTTTATTGACATATTATTAATATGAAGCCTTTGCATTTAAAATTATCTTAAATTTTCATAAGTTTCAATATCAGATATTAATTAAAATACCTGTATTTTAAACCCTTCACCAATCAATTACATGATATTGAAAGTGATAACTTTATTTAAGACTATCAATATGAAACCTTTTGCATTCATTTGAAAATATTCTCCCATTTGCATAAATATCAATATCAGATATTTTAAACTGCTATTGCCATTAAAAAAAAAAATGAGAACTGCTCTCCAATATATATTTTTGACTCACATCTTTGTAGGAGAGGCAGTGAACAATGCTGCCGGTCTTGGCTTCAGTGGGTATGATGACAAAGGTCAGGCCAAGTGGGACCTTCTGAATAATGTCAAAATATATGAATTAGAGGTATGTATGATTTACTTCAAGGACCAGTCCACACTGGGATAAGTTAACCTACATCATATCAAACATGTTAAACTTTCCATTGATTCATTAATGATCCATTAATCCTTGTTTTGTCCACACTGAAATATTCCTTGTAGACTGCTTGGTTTTAGATTCATTTAATCCAGTGTTAGATGTAGAAACCCACATTTACCTGTGTTAACACTTATTTTATAACAGGGGCATGGGTTTGGAAAGAATTGATTGAGTATAAGAAAATAAGGAAATCTGCTTAGAAATAGAAAATGTTGGGATAAGTTTTTTAGAAATTCTTACAAATAATAAATTGAAAGCTGAATTTTGAATATCAGATTAATTAATAGGACTGGGTATTGGCTGGAAATTTCGTATTGCGATATTTTTAAATGTATTGTGATATGTATTGCAATATTTTCAATAACAGTTAAAATGCTCTTTTTCTTTTTTTATTAACCTCCATCTATAAGCAATGTGTGTACAACTATTATAAATACATTCTTACAAAATTTTTTGGGAACGAAATGCAACCATACAACAGCAACCTTACCATTTGGCACTGTTTGGCACGATTGAACATGTTTCTGACATATTAAATTTCATATTTTACTTAAGAAATCTAAAGCCCAAGCAATTTGGTGGTATATCAGTACTGGAAAAACGTATCGCAATACGATAATTTTTGTTAATGAATCACAATGTACTGGAATATCGATATTATTGCACAGCCCTATTAATTAACATTATATAAAATGAAGCTAAAATGTCAGTCTTTTTTACAATAAATGTATTGATTATTTTGCTACCTGTTTATGTTAATTTACTTCTCAGGTATCAAACAGTCTTAAAGTTAATATAGATTGTTGGAACATCACAACATTGATATGGCTGCGTCGCGTAGTCTATGATCGCGTGCCCCCGAAGCACCGGACTCTCGCCACCTTTATGGTCAGTGCTCTCTGGCATGGTTTCTATCCTGGATATTACATCTGTTTTACTGGAGCTGCCCTGTGTACTGTAGCTGCCAGACTGGTAAGTACAAGGTCTGATTCTATAGTCATCCCAATTAAACACACTGATATCAGTATAGTAATTATTGAATAAGCATCATTGGTGTATGAATTGAATCACCAGTGAAGTTTGTAAAAGATGAGGAGGGGTGACCAACCTTTGTCAGTTTGATATCACTTTTTCGTGTTTATATACAGGGAAATATGTTTTATTTAGATTTACATCTTTAGTTTAAATCAGGACTAGAAATTCACTGAACCACTTAACGTAATAATAAAAGATTACAAAACTGGACAAAGAGTTTATTTTTTTACTGGAATGACAACTGAAAATGTGTGATATCTTCTCCATTTTACAAACACCTGCTAATGTACACTTGTACAGGTGTGTATACATTGAAAAGACTGCTGCATATCTTTTATTGAATGTTTGAACACTGATTGAATATCCTCAGTAACATGTTTATAAAGAATCTGTTTTAAAATATTCCTTGCAGGTTCGAAGAAATGTTCGCCCTTATTTTATGCTTTCTAAGCGTGACAAGTCTTTATATGATTGCGTCACTTTTGTATTGACTAAGTTCTCCATATGTTACATTACTGCTCCACATTTTCTGCTCAATCTTTTGGACTCTGTCAAATTTTTACGGTGAGTTGCATGTGCATCCATGCTTTCCCAGCATTTAAGGATGTCGCTGCACTGTACCTGCCCATGCTCATATGTTTTGGCTTTCACACTAGCACACCTGTATTTCTGTTGGAATATTTCTAAATATTTAAAAGAAAAGCTTTAAATTACACGAAAACATGATTTGATATACAGTATAACATGAGAAAACAAATTTAAGATCCAAAATAACAAGTGAGTTTTGTAAAATATTTTGCTTTTACCACAGAGCAGACTTTGTACCAACAGAAATATCAGCTTATTAAGTATGAAATCACAGGCAGATACACATTATGTAGACGTGCACCGGCCTTGTACTGAACACGATTTTCCTCTTTCAGATGAGAAGAAATGTACGACCTTTATTTCTTGATTCTCCGGATAAAAAGAAATTGTACGACGCTGGAACATTCTTCTTTACTCGCTTTGCAAACGTTTATCTGGCCTCGAATTTCTGCCTCCTCGGACTTGTACCATGCTTTTCATTATTAGGGTAAGAGAAACATAAACAAATAAAACACAGGAAAGTCTCCAGAATTTTCACTCACCCATAAAAAACATATGAGACTGTTTCTTTCTAAATTCTCAAAAATATAAAAAAAGTTTTATACACTTTTAATCCTTTTTTGCTTACACTCATTGTTTGACAGTTATTAAAGTCTTCAAAAATGTTTTCTTCAAAATTTTTGTTTTTTGAAAACATTTTTTGAACAAATAAACAATTTTTTCAATTTCAGAAGTATACATTAGTTTCGTGTAGTAACAATCAACTCCATTCTTGCTACCCCTTGGCTTGCAATGCTTGGCTTATACTTACGTGTATTTACCATCTTCCAAAATTCTTGATATAATCTTCAGTATTATCATTGATAAAGGTATTAAATAGAAAATTTACAAACAAATGCTGTACATCATTGATACCAGAATATTTTACATGTTTTATAAAGGGATAATTAATTATCATAACAGAAGTGTGAAGTATAATTATAAATGTCTACATGGTCTAGGGTGATTAGTATATGATTTGTCTCCTTGATGTGTTACACGTGTGTGATGTGTGAATTCATCATCTCTCTTTGCAGGTCTTTATATTTCTGGATTCACTTATGTGCAATAGCAGTTATTATTTACTTCTCATACCTACATCCAAAGAAGAAGACAGAAAAAGTAGAGACAGTGGCAAAGGAGATAGTGGATGTAAAAAAGTCGCAGTAGAGATGTCGCGAGTTGTGTTCAAATTGTGACAAGTCACCTACGTGTTATCTTCTAAAGTTTTAGAGTTGTTTTGACTCATGGTTTCTTATACCTTTATGTGATATTAGATAAGTTTGGTTTGTGATGATGTGTGCATGTTGTGAAAATCAAATGTTTGTGTATTTTTTTATTTTTACATACTTTAATTACACATGTTTAATGGATTTGAAGGAGAGAATACTTTTTCTTTTTTACTTTTTTGTGGACTCTCCAAAGACAACCACAACTTTTCATTGCTTCATAAACAGGATGGGTGGGTCACAGTACAATGATGCAGTGATTTACTTGTTTATTTTCCATCAGTAAAATGCATCTGCTTCTGATTTTGTCCCAGGTGAATATGACCAGATCGGATTTCCTTGTTAGCACCTATATAAAGATTTTATTTAGATCACTTAGAGAAAAGCTACAGAAATCTGATGGAAAGCAATAAATACACTGCCCTGTTAATGAACAAATCATTTCCATTATTTTTTTAATCAATTTTTATCTAAGGTTTTTTTTCTGATTTGATTTCAATAATGAATATGTTTATCTCGTACCTGGAAAAATTACTTAAAAAAAGAGAGAAAAACAAATTTCAAACTATATTCATGTATTTTTCAAATAGCAAATAGTTTTTTTCAAACAAAAGCACTGTAAGTTTGTAATAAAGTAAACTTTTCTTTTCCTAAGAGGCCCCATATCACTATACACAACAGTATAGAATCTTTGTGAAGAAAGGCAGGGTTTGCAATAAGAGCTATAACTTGTAGCTCATTGATACTGAGCATTTGTGTATTGTTAAATTCAAGCTGTTTTTATTTGTGCCTATTTTTGGTCATAGTAATAGTCATGCTGAAAAAGCTAGTCAGATAGACATTCAGGGCTTTTATGCATTTTATTTTTGTCAAATCAAACTCACTTGTTTTTTATTCCTTCACAGGTTTTTTTGTAAAACTTTTTTTGTGTGTGTGTTTGATTCAGAATTGTCGTGATTTTACAGTATTGATTTTTTTTTCGTCAAAAAATGTGCCTCATATATTTCTCTTCCATTTATTGAACATCATTACCCATTAGTCAATTTATTTATAAAACCAAATTGATTTCTAGAAATTAGACTTACATGTATTAATGAGGTTGATATTGTAAGTGCTATATGAATTTACAACAGAAAAATTTAAAACTCCATGAACATGAATTTCAGCCGTTTTTGAAATTGTGTTTGGAGTAGTAACACACATTCCAGAAATATGGTTACTCTGACAAGTAAACATTAAGAAAGTGCAAGTCATTGTAAATAAGAATAATTATTACTAAGTTAATGAAGAAAGAAAGAGAGAGAAAAAAAAACTTTTTTAACTGTCAAATGTGAAGTTAAGCACTTTTGTTAAATTGAAAAAAAACCCCAACAAAAATTAAAAACCAAAGGCAAAAAAAACAAAACAAAAAAAAAACCCAGTAATCCTGCTTTAATGTCCGAGTTTGTTTCAAAATACAAACAACTAGTGTTTTGTCCTTACAGTGAACGACAAGCTCTTCTATAGTTTTTCAAACAATATTCTGATACTAAATTTGAAGAACATTTTTTGTGTCTTACTTGGGTAAAAAGGGAACATAAAACACAGCACAAAGTGCTATCTCCATTTAATTTTTTAATTAAAGAAATATGGAAAAAAGCAACTGCTTCATTCATTGAGAACATAACTGCTAACAAGTTTTAAGTGGAATATTCCTATACCAGTTTATTTCACAGAAGTGCAGACTTGGGGAAGAACTTTTCTACTCATGTTGTTTTGCTTTTCTTTAATGTTCAGATTGATTTCAAAATTTTAATTCATCTTTAAAGTTCGATTAACATTATTTTTATAAGCTGAATAATAATTGTAAATAATAAAAAAAAAAACAACAGCAAAAAAACTTCACCAAAGTGAAACTGCATGAAACATTCTGTAATTTTCATGGATACATGTATAATTATACAATATTATTTATTTCCTTTTATTATTACCATTAATTACATGTATCTATCTGATTTGCTTTCTAATTGATTTGACTGAGAAACGATTTTATTTGTTATTTTTGGGGTCAATTGAAATGTCATTCAAGAGTTCAAACTGTTAGTTTTAAGATATTTTGCTAACCAGCACAACTGTATAAATGTTCTTGATACTCTATGTTGTATACTGCCGATTTAAGTTCAAGTATACAGACAACAAATAAATGTTCCAGGAAAATCTAGACTATTTAAGGATTTTTCTTTTGGGAACACTTGATGTTTCCTTTTGAAGAAAACACCAGAGGCAGGATCTGGTGCCAGAGGGAAATAAGCATCCCCTGTCAATTTGTCATATCCGTCATGAGTCCTCTGTGTAAGTGATCAGATAAACAGAATAATTACTAGTCTAACTAAGCATGAAAACAATGGCCTAACACTAGGTTAAAATCATGCCAGTCAAAATTCGACCCAAATATAGGTTGTATTTGCAAACAAACGATGTTATTGTCATGACCACAGAATTTGAGAAATGATGACTTTAAACAAGATTGTTGAAAGCCATGTACATCAACTTATTTATCAGTAGTCTGCCTTGGTTTATTGTCTTGAACATGCTCTTGCATTCCGAATCAGTTGGGAGACATAAACATATGCAGGTGAAAGTGTAAAATCTTACCTAAATAGGGGAAGTTAACAGTGGTGAACAAAGCACCTACAAGAAACATACAATTTTAGTAATCAAGAACTGCGTACTGAGACCTGTTGCAAATAAATAATAATCCTTTTCAATTCTTTTCTAAATCAACTTTCATACTGTTCAGTTTTGTAATGTGCAAGTAATTACCTGCATCAATATGTACATGTGTTGGTGAATTTTATTTATACCCCCGCTCCAAAGGAGAGGGGGGTAAACTGTTTTACCATTGTGTGTCTGTCTGTCTGTGTGTCTGTCTAACTGTCTGTCTGTCCGTAACAAATTTTTCATCACAGTTTTCTCAGCAACTACTCATCGCAGATGCTTGAAATTTTAGCAAACTCTTTGTTTAGGCATGTCATATGGTGGGATTCATTTTTGTACGAATCCGATGTCAACTTCCTGTTTATCCGAGCATCTGTCTGTACCATACATAACAAATTTTGGTCGCAGTTTTTTCAGCAACTACTGATTGCAAATGCTTGAAATTTTAGCATATTCTTTGTTTAGGCATGTCATATGGTGGGAGACATTTTTGTACGAATCCGATGTCAACTTTCTGTTTATCCGTGCGTCTGTCCGTACCATACATAACAAATTTTTGGTCGCAGTTTTCTCATCAACTGATTGCTGATGCTTGAAATTTTAGCACACTCTTTGTTTAGGCCTGCAATATGGTGGGATTTATTTTTGTACAAATCTGATGTTAACTTTTTGTTCATCCTTGTGTCTGTCCATAACTGAACTTGTGTACATTCACATCAGAATGTATATTCACATCAAAGCGGGGGTATTACTAGTGAGCATTGGCTCACAGACTTCTTGTTTAAGTGAAGATTTACCTTAACCATCTTTAAAACTCTGTTGAAGTTGGAAACTTAGTCTTTAATTTGTTGACCATTGGTCAATTTTTGCTAACCTCATATTGATTAAAAAGAATTAAATAATTCTGGGAAAATGGCTGTTGGATTTTTACATATAACTAGTTTTTCTTCCACTAAAATGTACTGTGAAATTTCTGCAAAAAGGTCCATTCACACCTTTATAATTACACTTAAATACAAAAAGGAGACATTGATGATGCAAAAGCTGAGGTCGTCTTTATTTTCTTGAGTTGTTATTCGGCCATTAAAGTCTCCATTCAGTAAAGTATCCAAATACAAATGAAAAAGTTGAAGATAACGAACAGTGATCGATCTCAAACAAATCTACAGACAATACAAACCTGTGGACAGGGCATAAAACACGCATCCCTAGAAATATCAGAGGTGGGATCAGGTACCTTTGAGGAGTAAACATCCTCTGTTGACCGGTAGCACCCACCGTTAGCCCTATGTATTGATCAAGTAAACGGAATATTCCCTAGTCAAATTTAGTATATAACAAAGGCCTAACAATTGGTATGAAACATGTCAGCGAACATTCGACTTAACGGTAGATTGTATTTGCTAACACGGTCATTGTATCGACCATAGAATTTGTGAAATGTTGATTTTAAACGGGATTGTTGTTATCTTTGTATCATCAACTTATTTGTCAATAGCTTCTCCGTTTTACAAATTTTTCGTACATAGAGCATGCTCTTGCGTTTCGAATCACCTGGGAGAGATAAACTCCATAATTATGCAGATGATAATTAAATTTCCGTGTTTTCAACGGAAGACCTTCTACTTCTGTTGTTTAAGATTATTCTTTTTAAGGTCTTCTGTTTCAACGGAAGACCTACTGATTCTGTTGGCTATAGCTATTATTCTTTATTTTTTCTTCTTTTTCCTAGAAACTAACTTTGAGACCTCATATCTTGCTCATTTCTCAACGAATTTTGCTCAAAGGATGATGTGCCAAAACTACTTTCTGTGGCCCCTTTTTCTATGAGGAATTAAAATTTATTCTACAACGATTTTGATAGTTTACAAACAAACGTGAATAAATGCGACGCCTTTTGAATAGTTTCAATAGTCCCAACACATTTTAATCACGAGGATTACTGCATTATCTATGATTTTTTAGACCCCATGAGAGCAAAATTCGGCCTGGTTTGAGACAATAGAATCTTTTATGAAAAGAGAATAGGCGGGTCTTAGTACAACAGAGGGGTATGCATGTCCGAGGAATCTACCTTATATGGCTATTTATTATTTCGCAGATATAGTCGCTTACAGAGAACAAATTGTCCAATCCAACGACTGAACGACAAAACATGCTGGTTTACTACATTTTATCACAGACACGTGGCTTAGGCCAATTTAAACATTATCTCTACTACATTTCAAATTTTTAAGGGTCAGCAAAGGCTTTTTACATTTGATAATACGTACGGAACCTCAGTGTTTACCGTTTTAGGTCGAGAAATTCACAATGAAACGTGTATTCACTGATTCTCGGAAATATGTGTAGCCAATTGCCCAGCGACGCTTTACAAGACTATGAAATTATACAATGTATATTTATTTAAAAAAAATGTTTGTAATTATGAGCAGGGAAATTGTAGATTCGTGTCTAATCTGTGACTCAAATGAATAAAAAATGTTTATCGGAAAACAAGAAAAAATTATGCCTTTTTTCCAAGCATTAAATTTCTGTAGAATTTCTGTATTACTCACTCGTAATGCAACTCATTTACCTGATTGGTCGGTTAGAAAGTCACGCTGGTGCCTCGATTAGCATATATGAATTTATTCTTACGTCAGAAAAAAATGTGTCGTCGATCTGTTCGTAATGGGGAAGACCAGCCAGATTTTACGTTATAAACACATTTGAGCGCAGTTAGGTACAATTTTCTCCTTTCACATATAGGTAGATTTCAATAAAATATAGCGACCATCCAAATGAGTAAAATGTCCCTACTTGCGCTTGTATATTTTAAGGGCTTCAAAAAGTGGTGCGGGGCCAAAATTCTTTTTTTTTTTTTGTCATTCATATTTTTATTTCCGTCATAACATGCATTTTTAAACAAACATTACAAAACTACAATAGAATGGCATAAAAACAAATATTCTATATGATAGATAAAAGAGATCCATTTGAACAATTTTGAAAAATAGACAGCATTTTTTTTTTTCGTAACCTTCACTGACTTAAAATGTTTTAAAAAAAATTCAAGAAGAAGACGAAGAGATTGTTAGTTATTTCTGCAGTCAGTTTGGTGGTTATATACATGTAGACAGTTTTCATAGTGTAAAGCCCTCCCGCATTCTGATATAAACACCCTCCCATCCAAAAAGAAACTTCCGCTTTTTGAAGCCCTAGGATATTAAAATAAAGACATACATTAAATTTACATATTTCACACTCTTATACTTAACAAAACGATAATATGAGCATAGAATGTTTAATTCATAAGTTAACTGCAACTCAATCGTCATTCTTAAAAATAGCAGTGATATTTATCAATGAAAATGTAGGTCAGATTTCTCCACGTAACTGAGTGTATACATGGGTATCGGAGTCACTGAACCGGGTAATCTATTTTTTTTAGCATCACAAAGGGGAATTCTTTGATATATATAAGTTTTGTCTTACTTCTAACCTCTGGCGGCATTACTAGACTGAAGCTAGCAGCCAATAACAGCAGCCATTAAGCCCGTAGAAGCTAGCAGCCAATAAGGAAATTCATTAAAGGACTGAGAGTACTCTGACGCAATGCTGTTTAATGCCTCATTTTCGACAATTTATAATTAATAATTAGATAATTAATGCAACACTTAATTATTTAATAATTCAAACACTTGGAGGCAGTTAAGCTCACCTGCATAAGGAAAATTATGCGGTTTCAAAACAAATAAACAAACAAAAAAATGTCACCATCTTTGACCGCTTAAGAACAAATCAACATCTTAAATAGGTTAAGCACTTCCGGGAGAATCCCTTTTAAGCTCTTTTATGGGTCTCAGAAACATGATGGTGCCAAAAGGCTAACCTGAAATTTGCTTACTCCTAATATTTACATTGAAGAGGGTTTGAAGGTAATTTAATCTATTTTAAGTTATTATCCTTGAAGTGTGCTTCGAACAATTACTGGCACAAGGTTAAGGGTCCACAGGGCTATTATATACGTCATAAAAATTAGGCTGAAGTGGTACCACCAAGTGGTGTCAAGGGCGGGTTACATATTTCAAGCAGCTATTATACCTCTTATCTTAGAAGTGTGCTTGAAATCATTACTGTGGCAAGATAGAAGATTTCTAGGATTATCATTTCCCGCAATCGGTGTGAGGCTGTAGTGGCACCACCAAGTGGTGCCAACGGTGGGGAACATATTTCAAACTTTCATATTTCAACCATCATTGACCATTAGAACAAACTAACACTAAACTGGTAAAAAGTTAAGGGACTTAGGGAGTATCCCTTGTCAAATTTTTGACAGGTTCCAATGACTAGAAAAGGCCAATTAGGTAACCTGAACTTTGTTGTTTTTCACTTTGTCTATTGATATACGGATTAAAAGTAAAATGTTATACCCCTTATCTTTGAAGTGTGCTTCAAATCATTACTGGGGCAAGGTAGAGGGCCCCTAGGACTATCATTTCTTGCTATCAGAATGGGGCT